GCGGTAGCGCAGGGGCGTTTGGGGCTGTATCTTCCATCCCTTTGAATCAAGACCCAGACCCTTCAGTGCCGGCAGCTGGCAGAGCAGGGAGTGGAGACGACCACACAACAGTCTCAGGACGGTGTCGCTCGACTAGAACCGTCCAGATTTTCCACAGACTCCACCCCGAGAAGTGACACCCGCTTCACTGAGGATGGGGAAGCCATTCCACCCCACGAAAGAAACACGAAGACCTGAAGCGACAGCACTGTACGTCGCCCATAGGAAGCGGAGTTATTTGTCGTGCTTCATCTGGAAGAAGGTCCAATGTCATAGACACACAGAGTGAGAAACGCCCTCCGACAGGTCAGTGCCGAGTCCTGTGAAGTCAGAGGTGAAACAAGGACGTGTCAGGTCCAAGAGGATCTAGGAAGCTTCATTCTTTCAAGATGACATTGGAAATGGGCTTTGAATGATTTATTTTCCAGGCAAATGAAAGCAAGATATTCCAGGCAGAAGGAAGAGTCAATAAAGGCACAAAGGAATGATTCTGGGGGGAAAGAGACCATGAGTAGTAGGTGAACGAGCTGGAGGGAGAAGAGGGTCCGAGGAGGAGGGACAGGAGCCAGGAGGACTGTGTTCCTGCCCAGCGACAGAAAAAAGGGAAGATGAACGTAGGTGGCAGATACGTGCTTCACACATCACTGCTCAGCTGTAATGAGCAAGCGATGTGAATGGTGATACTGCTCCCTGGAGAAGCACCCACACCAAGTCTTCAAGCTTTGCCTAAAAATGGCAGCTTACAGTTTTGAAATACCTAGGAGCTCCAGACTTCCAGGAAACCAGGAATTAAGCTACTTTTCACTGTGATTCAGATGCAGGGGCTAAACCAACACGGGCAGAAGGATTGTAAGATCAGCTGAAATCGGCAGAGGAGACGGCAGGATGGACAGTAAGAGGAAGTCTGAGCAGAAACGAAACTTCAAACAAGAGAAACCAAAAAAAAAAAAAAAAAAAAAACAGGCTGAACACTTGCTACATTTATAATGATAGCTATTCAGAACTCTCAATGTCATTTGTTTTCCCAAGTTAAGTACAAGCAAAACGAAGAGGCATGTCACTGTAACGTTCAACATTCAACAGGGAAACATGTCCAAGGGGCGCAGGTTTTGTTTTTAAGGTTTTGCCGATTTTAGTAACGTTTTTGCATTTTACACTAATAAAAACGAAATATGAACGTATTTTAAAAAGAGAATCAAAGAGCAAAGACCTAAAAACACCCTATTCTGGTTCTCGCACTTCCTTTTCACAAAGGCCCTGCGAGTGACATGTCTATTTCTCTACCTCGTCTGAAAAATCCCTTCTACGCTTCAAAATTTTTATAAAAATATGTAACATAAATACTCAGTTTATATTGAAAACAGTGATAAATAAGAATAAAATAATATCATATAATATATGAAATAATACAAATAGTAAGTAATTATATCAGTAAATTGTGTTTCTTACATGGTTACCCTTAGAAACCATCAACATTAACATCAAAACCAAAGAACAATTTATACCCCTCAAATTAAAGAAGACTGTATTATTTGTTTTAATCTCTAGGTATAAAAGAAAAAGATAAAATGGAATAGAAGAAGCAGTAAAACCAGAGCAAATGGTCCCAAATGAAAAGAGTAAGAAGTCGGGTTGCTTGAAACAAGCATTTCTGAGGAGGAACCTTCGCTAACTCGGAGACCGGAGTTCAGCCAAGTCTCTGTTTTGCTATTTGTGTTTTCAATTGTTTGAGCCCCTGGCGTTTTATTTGGTCCATATTTTAATAGTGATTTATACAGAGGAAGATGTCAACTGATACTCCTTGTTTTCTGTTCATCTTTTTCAACAAGAAAAAAGAACCGTGGGAGGAAGGAGGGAGGCAGGCTTGCGCAGGAGGGAGACGGCCGACCTGGAGTCCTCCCGCTGGGGTCCCTGGCCCTGGGCCTGTCACGCAGGTTTTCTGAGCCACCGTGTCCGACATCAGTCATATCACTTCAGTCTCTCTGCTGATGAAACCCGCGTGGCACGTGACACCAGCACCCATTTCCAGGGCCGCGCTGGGAATCAGACGGGTTCAGGCAGGGAAGTGTGCCTCATCACTGGGACGTGGTCGGCTCGGCTTTGTTGGTGTTTTGTTACCGACAGGAAAAGAAATGCTTGTGCATGAAGGGCCCGACAACACAAGATCTGTGAAGACCAGGCTCAAAATCTGGGTTATTGACAGACACAAGGTTTCGAGTGCGATGAGCTTGAAAATCTTACATTTTATAAATGAAAAGTTGCATGAGGAGTTAGCTTTGATTTCAAAGGGGACTAACTCAGTTACAGTCAGTAACCCACTAGTGTGATAAGAACAGTCCCTTCCATTTATAATAAAGTTCAGGCCCCCCCTCCAGGCCGCCGGCCCCCGCCCCACGCTGCCCCCTCCGCCGGCCTCACTGTCTCACTAGACCTGCAGTTCAGACCGCGCGCTCCGGTCCGGCGTGCTTTCATGTCCACAGAAGACCCTGCGCGGTCCTCTCCAGCCCACGCAAGCATAGCCCTGTGGTTACTTCTCTTCTCCCAGAGCCCAGGCTGAGATGAGATCTCTCCCTGCTTACAGGCGGGTTTTTCTGTCTCTCCTCCTCACTGGGAGGGTGGTCCTTCGAGGGTCAGGGGAGGACAGAACTGTTCTGACCCCCTACTCTGAGTTATGCTCAAAGCCCCCTTTCTCCTGTGTGAGTGGACACCCCCCCCCCCGACGTCCCACTGGGCATCTTGTTGGCAGGAAGGATGGCACAATGCCCTATGGGTATTTTTGGTCCAGGAACAGACTCCTCTGTTAATTAAATGAAGAGAAGGAAAACTTCTGTGATAAAATGAAAAACTATGTGTGAGATCTTAAAGGAAACACGATGACAGTTTTCCGTCATTGACGTGTTCGCTGCAAGTTACAGGCATTTAGAAAGCGACCCACAATAGAACTGTGTTAGCAACAACTAGCAATGGTGATCCCTCTGTTCTGACTGGACATCCAGGTTATTTGAAAGTTGTCATTACTGCTCTCAGAGTTTGCATCCAGGATCCTGACCAGGGTTCGAGAACTGCGCAGAGCGAAATTCAGCCGGGGCGGGGCTCTGTGTGGCTCGCACAGCTCGCCCCAAGGGGGTCACTCACGTGCGTCCCTTGTGGTGGTGGTGGAAAGTGGTCTTTTGTATTTCACGTAACACACATTTTCTGTTTTAAGTAAATGTCTGCAAGTATAATGCCCTCTAAGTTGGCTTAAAACACATGCACATTAGTAGTATATTATTCTGGCAGATTTGAATTTAAAAAACGCAGCAGCCAGGAAAGGAGTCTTAGGGTTAGGCAGGGAGGCGCTTACTGTGGACTCAGGAAGCCTTCGCTGGTGACAATGTGATCACGCAACCTGTTCGAACTCTCACAGAGTCACCCCGTCTCTTCAGACTTTTAGGAGACGGTGTATTTATTAACGCCAGTCTGAGGAATCAGCCTTCTTACCCAGATCCTCCCCAGTGATCTCCCTGCAGGATTATCCCTTCTCTGTGTCTCAAGATCCAGTTCCCTGAACTGGCCTCATCCAGGGGGATGCACTCAGGAGAAAGTCAGTAGACACTGCTGGTATCAGATTAAAGCAAGTTGCTTGTAACGACCTCCACTGAACGTTCACAGAAGTCGCTGGCGGTCCCCACTCGGTAAAAAGTCCGCCGACGCCGATGCCAGGCCCCGCCAGAGGCTGGCGAGCCAGTCGCCGGTTTGACTTCACACTTCTGCTCTGACAGGTGAAATGCACGTTTACGAAGAGCTGTGTTTGTTCACAGACCTGTTTATTCCGGATGTACCAAGGATGGTAATTATGCAATAACAGTTCAGTTTTATAAACTAATTAAATATGAACACAAAGAGAAGGAAAGGTGCTCCTGTGAAAAAGGGCTTTTGTGTGTGCGTGTGTGGAAAGATCTGTGCACGTGATGAAGCCGGAGCGTGGCATTGTGATGCAGGTATCACAGCAAGATCTCTTTAAACTGTTAGGGGAGAATTATCATTAACCCCTTACGGACTTAACGCGCAGAATGCTTCCCATTACTCTCTAACTTTGTGCACCTATTTAAAGAAATTGCACCTGGTATGTAATGATGAGGCAACAGAGGTGCAGCTGGTGGAAGTCATCGTAAGTGACAGTCCTATCTGCCAATTATGTCAGAGAAAAAAGCCTCGGCCGTATGTCAAAAGACTAGCTTTTCACTTCAAACAAAACTTTCAATTCATGTAAGCGATATTTTGTATCTCTCCACTGTCCCCGCCGTTTTGATTTGTCAGTCACTAGCGGGTTGAATCCACTCGAATAAGGTGGATTTTACTGGACTCTCTTACTAGGACGTCCCCCAGGGCAAGCCCAGAGTAACACAACACGCATGTTTAGATGATTTTAAGCGAACCTCAAAACCTACAGTCCCATTTCCTCTAATGCTGATTTAATCAGCACGCGGCAGGCTTCCTGGAACCCTAGCGCGCAGCATTGCTACAGCGCCTTGCGACACCCCGAGAAGCCTCTTCATTCCTGTCACCCGAGGCCTGGGGAAGAACAGTAAACGCCTTGCCTACCTTCTGTGCACAAAGCCAGGAGATCTCCTTCCTCGCAAAAGGCTGATACACTTGTCCCAAGCAGATAATTGACTCATTGGAAACTAAAGAAAAAGACCTCAAACTAGAACCACAAGGACAAAGAACACAGAAAGGCCTTGTAACTTGAAAGAAAAAGTCAGCAAAAACGTCAAGGTTCTTTGGAAGAAGAGAGAAGTTAACCTCCCGCAGAGATCTTACTCCTTTCTTTGTAAGCAGACTCAACACCCCCTGAAACTCTCTTGATTGCATATAAAAGACCTGAAGCTGGCAGAAGTGAGCTCTCAGCTTCCTTGACTTGACTTGTTCTTCTGGATTCCACCCTTGGGCTCTCCTTGGAGCCCCGCTCCCCCACCTGATCAGGCCGCTTGGGAGCCAACAGCTGTGCTGAGTGCTCACTGCTGACACAACAGTGTGAGCTCTGTGGTGATTTCCATCCCTTCCCAGATTCTCAGAAGCCACCTGACTTGGAGCCGGCCACCACGGCCAGCCAGTCCCAGGGGATCCACCAGCTCCTCCAGGCAGAGAAAAGGGCCAAGGACAAGCTCGAGGAAGCCAAAAGGAGTAAGCCCCCTCCTGTCTGCCCTGTGAGGGACTGGTCACAAAACGGATGAGGGGCGTGCAGGAGGAGGAGCGCGGACCTCTCGAACAGGTTACTCCCTGGTTCCGCCACGCTCTCGGGGAGACCGTGGCCAGCTCACTAAAGCTTCCCAGTTGCATGTCTCCCATCACTAGAGTGGGGATGAATTTCCCCAGCTCAGATCTTTTGGCCACATCGCGCTCCGTGGGAAATGATGATGGACGCTGAAGTTGCAGAGACTCGGGCTTGAGCTTTGCCTCCAACTTCCCTAAAGCCGCCACGCCTCGGTGTCTCAATGTTGCAGAATGGTTAAGAAAGGACAGGCCACTTCCAGACCGAAGTGACGGACTAGTGAGCGAGCTTGGGCAAGTGTCTTAGCCTCTGTAGGCATCGGTTTCTGTTCTGCACATTGTGACAAAGTTACATTTGTTCTCCCTTTCTTGATGGTTTTTAATGTCCAACCTTTAAAAATATTTCCATTTTATTCTCACTTTCTGATTTCTTGTTATTTGGTCATTCATCTACGTGCTTACCCAGAGAATGTTTCTTTGACATTCACAGCAACCACACGGATTAGGCATAATAACTACATTTCCATTTCACTTATGCAGAAATTGAGAGTCTATAGTTTGCCGACAGCCATATTTTAAAAAGCAGAAAATAGGGTGCCAGGCCCATGCTCATCTTGTTTACTTACTTACTCCTTATCTTATTTACTCTTCACACCAACCCTCTTTGCAAAAAGGGGAAAGTGAGCTTAGAGAAATGATGCAACTTGCTCAAGATCACACAGAGGTTAATGGTAGAGACAGGGTTTGGTGGGGTCTGATCCCCCAGCCACAATCTAAACAAGGCACTGTACAAAATGTACGTGATTTTCATAACGAATAAACGAATGTCACAGATCTACACCCCAAATTCTGGTCCCTGGGGGCCAAGACCTCTGTTTCCCCCACTGTCCCATTTCACTCACATCCTTACTTAATCTCCAACATGGTGTGTCATTTACCTTCCTAATTACATGTCCTGTCTCTGCAATTAGATTCCAAGCCCTGCCAGACAGGGATCACGTCTTAAAGCGTTGCTTGTGTAAGACTTTGGCTGCGTGAAGAGATCAGAACAGAGTCGGTATTGACAGAAGCTTGTTTCAATGCATTGAATGTAACGTGGGCACAGGACGTGATAGTGTAAGAAAGGAAGGCAAGGCAGACACTCACTACTCAGTCCCCTGGGGTTTTCAATCACATATAAAGTCATTTTCCTTTCTTAAGATCAGTTGATTTCCTGAACACTCAGCAATGTGGGCACCAAAGCACAAAAGAAAAAGAGTCCACGTGGAGGTGCTGGAAGGGAAAGGGAAGGCTCAAGCTAACGAAGGCAAACTTGACCAACTTCTCCATTTTTTTTTTCGCTACAACAAACCATGCAAATGATGGCCAAATGGGATGAACACAGAGTAACTGTTGAGAAAACAAAGCAGCCCAGGACCTGCTGGTTGAAACACTGTAGAAAACTCCCTTATCTTTTATTCAAATTTCTTTTCTATATTTAAAATGTCCAGAACAGAAGATCAGTTTATTTTAAGATGTGGTCATTATGTTACCATTCCTTCCTCAAGATGGAAGAAACAAAATGACAATATTGAGCACATAGTCAATATTGTCATTTGATCCAAATGATACTTACCACCTATCTCTCATTTTTCTTTAATATTTGAGGGGGAGGGAGGTAATTAGATGTATTTACTTATTTATTTTTTTAATGGAGGGACTGGGGATTGAACCCAGGACCTACTGCATGCTAAGCACCTGCTCTACCACTGAGCTATACCCCACCCTTCCCCCTTATCTCTCATTCCTCAGTCATTAGAGAGGCACTGGGAATCAGGCAAGTCATTTGGAGGTGGGAACCTCTCAGAACAATCTAACCTCAGCTTTCACAGGAAAGGTAGAAGACAGGCTATTTTTCCCTCCCCTTGGTCAGTATGCTGTGTTCGGGCAATCTCTCCTCGGAAGTCAGTACCGGAAGGTCCATACTGTATTATTTGTATACACAATGTTCATTTTGTTGACCAGTCACTTAAAATACTTATGTACTTTTTTTTCTTGGTCTTTGTTCATAAATCTTTGAACAAATATCAACCAGTAATAGTAAATACCCTGGCCTTAAAAATATTTTGGAAAATATCTTTCCAACTGTTGTTTCAACCAGTGAGCTCTGCGCTCACTTTCTCAGAGGAAGCCCGTCCTCGGCCTCGGGGAGCACGGGCTCGGGGGCCGTTTTCACCGGACAGACGGGGGCCGTTCCCTGCCCAGACGCCACACGCAGGGGCGGCTAGGTGACAGCTCCGGGGCCCGTGCCCGTCACTCGCTTCTTCAGCTCGCCGCGGCCAAGTGCAATGCTGCCTTGTGTACCTGCTATTTCGTAGCTTTTCTGCTATTTCACTATTTTTTTTAATTTTATTTATGTGTTTAATTCAGTAAGTACTTGTTGGGTGCCGTGATTTTCAGGCTGCTCTGGTATATTCACTGATGAGAAGACCTTCCTCAGAA